GGTGTCGCAGTAAGTTATTGACTTACTTCACTCGAACATGATATGAACAATTTAATCTAGCCTCTCTGCATATCATGTAGTTTTTACACTATATAGTTACACTTAACTTTAAAGCATGAGGCACGTATGTTAAATACACGCAAGATGCTTACGTAAATCCAAGAGTTGGCCAATCCCTTTTTTTCAGTGTGGTCATCCAAAAGTTGGACATGCAACAACCTTCACCTCTGAAGGGCAATCAGTGTCAACCACCATGTGACTGCACAGATTACCTGCTAAGAAGCAACCTGTCTCCAAACAGTTGCAGTCCCTCCCAGTCTGACACACAGAAAGATTGGCGAGGGTCTGCAGATAACTGCCGTCTTATTTATAAATGCAGACAAATTGTTTCTTTGAAGCAAACATTTCGAAAGCAACAAGGTCACAAGTTCATTGCATATGGTAATCATTTTTGGTCATGTCACAAGCTCCAGCTGCTGTTTTCTATAGTTGATTGTGATTGTTTGGGCTGAGTTTGGGGCACCAACACTACTTGGACAGGTTTAGAAAAAGGTTCAGTTTTGAGTTAAAATTTGAAAATGCAGAGTTTTTTGTTTGAGTGGCAACAAACCAAACTGAACTTTACCAAAGTGCCAGAGCAACTGAACAACACACATTTAACTTTATATAGATCATTGATCCTTTTTGGGGTCTCCCCCATTTAAAAAGCAGTTCCGTGAACCATTCATGGACTTACCGGTTATAGCAGTCATCCGGGTACTTGTCATACTCCATGTCATAATCAGATCTGAGGAGAGAGCAAGAATAAAGAGCTTAGAAATGATTGGAGGAGGATGTTCGTCCAACCTGATGTTGGAAAACTATTTGTATTCATTACATAAAATGTTAAAGATTGGACACGTGCAGTCTTCTTGGGACAAACTGGGTCATTTGTTCATGTTTTAATTATTCCGAATCAAATAAAAGAGAATGTCAGGTTAATGTTAGAAGGTGGATGGATGGCTCAGCAGACTTTGAAATAGAAGAGCGTTTGTTTCCTGTTTCCAGTCACTAAAGGTTCTCCTTTAACCGTAACCAACAAAATGATACAGTTGCACTAAACATGTGATGCCAGGCTTTGTCAGCATTGTCACCAAATAGGTGTATTTTTGAATTGTGAGAGACAAATGAATCAGTCCTGCTCATTGGGATGTTCTAGATGTAGTGGGAAACAACTACACTACTTTTGAGATGCACACACTAGTTCGAGGTAACCGCTGATTCTGTTCAAATGTACACGGTTTAAGGTAGTTTTATGTTCAGATCTGACACACAGTCCTTCTTCAGTCCGAGCTTCATGAAGCTGCTCAACAGGCTGAGCAGACCAGATGGCATCCAGACCTACTTATCCCAAAGAGCCTCTGGGCAGGGCTGCACTAGCTTCATTACATCAACAAAGCCACAGGCTGCTTGTACATGTTCTCATTTTCATACTTCTAGGCTGTGCTGGCCCAAATCCCCTAAAATAGTCCAAATGAAGCCGTGGCATGTGACACGAAGCAGCTCAGATTTGGGCAGAGCATTTTTGCAAACAAAGGGCAAATGTTCGGTCACCCCTGCCTCATCCTGACCACATCAGAGTTACATTAACTGACTATGATCCAGCACTGATGGAGTCTTTTCAACAGAGAAACCTCAACGCTGAACTGATTGTGGCTCTTAAATGCAGCACTATGAAGAACAGTGCTGTCAGTGTTGATGGTTTGCAGGGTTAATTTCGAGAGCTAATTTTGATTTAGCTTTAGTTAGAATGTGGGTATTATTTTAGTTGAGTGAATATCACAAGATTACAGTAGATGAATGATACAGTTGACCAAAACGTGTAAAGAATTTAGTGTGTTCCCTGGAGGGGCTCACAGAGTTTAAACAGCATCTGTATATGTATCCATGTGTCTACTGTTCTCTTCCTCCCAAGGATTGAAAAAGAAAACTGAAAACTGGCGAGCATGTACCCTGCCTCTCACCCTAAGACAGCTGGGATAGTGGAAGAGAACGGATGGATGTTTCAAATGTGATCAGCTGTA